TGGATCTGGATCAATATACACACAGTGACAATCACGCAGTGCTTGTGCCAGACTTCTGTCTTTCAAGTTTAGTAGTTCATAAGAAAATATGGAAAAAGAAAAGAAGGTCCTGGAGCTTTACCAAAAACTAATGTTGTTTTGTGTTTTGGCCCATAGCCAAACTTTCCACCGAATTTCACTGAAATTAGTCACAATTTTGAGATAAGCTATTTAATGTGATTTATCTCCAGTCTAATGTTACTCATCCCACTCCTGTCATCTGGTAATAACTGATGATAGTTTAGGATTATCGCTGTCTCACCCCACTCGACCCATTCAGTGGAGAAACAATATAAAACAATATAAAATGTCAATAATGAAGAGAGGCAACACATCTTAATTATAATATTCTGTCTAGTATGCTAACTGTTAGCGTTATCATCCAGGACATTTTGCACTGCTAGCATTGCTTGGTAAAAGCTACACAAACAGTGTTTAATGAAGCTGGCTGGCTAGCTAGCTAACTGACATAGCATATGAATGCAGTCAGTGTATCATGCAATGAGAATGGATTAGTTCAACGTCATTAGCTTATATTGTGCTAGCTAGCGAGCTGGTAACAATGTCACGGTCTATTACGCTCAGTTTTTAAAAACGGTTAGCTGTTAGCTTCGCAGAGCCTATCTGCACACTTCATTGATGTTGAGCCAGCGCTGCTGAGGCAGATTTACTCTCAAATATAGTTTATGAACAAACTAAAATAACTGTAGTTACCTCATCTATCAACCTGGTGCCAGTCAGTCACATTCAGACTTGTGTATGTCACATCACTGTTTTGGCCGACGCCCAGGATGCTCGCTCTGCAAACCTACAGTCAGAGCATGCACGCCGCTGCACTTCACTGAAGCAGTGTCATTAATAACAAGGGTTTCCTCAGTGTTACATACAGAACCTTTAAGTAGCAGCAGGTGTTGTTGTGTATGCTGACTTCAGTGTTTGAGCTCGGATCATGCCTCAGACTGTGCTACTGATCACAGCTTTGATGAGCGAACTGGGAGCTGTAATGGAATCCAATTTCCCAGTAAACATACCAATGCGTGTGTGTGTTTGGAGGCGTGACAGCTTCTGTGCGTGTGAATGAGACATAACTCCGCCCAATGACTGACCTCTCCCTGTCAGTGATTTCTGCAGCCGCGCTTTGGAGTCTGTTATCGAACGGAAACCAAACAAACAGCCAAGCAGGAATACGGCCCGTCGGTATTTTTTAGGCTCCGAATGCGCGCCCCCCCCGCCCCCGGTTAACCTCTGCGGCTGACAGGAAGGATGCGATTGCACGGCTCTGTAACTGCAGAGCGGAGAGAGTATGTTACAGTAAACCACTTTCCACTCTAGTGGCTGCACGCAGGGCAGCGTTATCTGCTGACCCCCGTCCCTGTGGAGGTTTAGGGGGTATCTGCTCTGGGCCCCCACCACCTCCTCCTCCTCCTCCTCCTCTTAGAAAATCCCACTCCCCTCTGCTGAGGAAATACCATCCAGCCAATTAGACACGGGATGGGATTCCTGTGTGTTTCTGAGCATATAGAGCAGGACTCCACAGTAAATCAAAAACACTATCGACTGCTGTTGCTGAACTGGAAAAGGCTGCAGTTTTTACTTCTTCCTAGAGTGGAAAGTGCCGGTATCAGCTTCCTGAAGTGAGCTGTTCAGAATCCACAGAGCCAACACATCACACCGTTAAAGCAATAGATAGCATTTTTATTTTCTTTTTTTTTTGTCTTATATCTCATTAAAAAATGTATTTTAAATCTTTTATATTCACTTTGCAGTCCAAACTATTTCTTGTTTCTGTAATAACTTTGAACTTTGATCCTGGTTTTTGTTCTCTGCATTGTTATCCCATTTTTATTGATTACCTGAAACATATTCTGTGCTTTCACAATTGCAAGCTGCAGAAAAAAAAAACAACAAACTGGATTCACAAGTTAAAAAAATGGGTAAAATTTGTTCATATCAATCTGCTGCTTTTAAAAAATATTGTAAAAGAATGGATTAGCCTTAGCTATATTCCCTCAAAAACTGATGGAGGTCCTTCTGCACGGGACAGGAATGTGGAGCACTTTCCAATGTCCCTGTGCAGACAAAAAGAAACCAAAAAACTAGCACCACCTTCAGACACTTCACTGCCAGAAAATCCAAAAAGAAGACATCACAGCTCTGCCCACTCTGTTTTACTGACAGGTGATCTCGTGCAGAAACAGAGCAGTTAGCACTTAGCAGCTAATGGTCAGCGGATAAACCTCAGACTCGGTGTGTTTTTGGGACAGAACCATGGCGAGCGCCCCCAGCTCAAGCTGAATCCACGCAGGTGTCTATTTTGGGTGAGAAACGTCATGGTGGCTGAAGGATCATCAGCAGGAGGAGGAAGGTGTTTTCAAGCCCACATGAGTTCAGGAGCAGCAGCAGCAAGAGGAGGAGGAGGAGGACCACACATTGGGAGAGAGACTGTTTAAAAACTCAGTGTGTGTTTCTGTTTGACCGAGTGTGTGTGTGGCTCATTACGATGCCAAGAAAACAATGTGTTCAGACTCCTTGGAGGATTGTCCCACGCTGCGCGCAGTGTCGCTCCAAATACGCCGAGACAGAGGAGACGCAGAGAGAGAGAAGTAATGATATCTAACAGATATTTCCCTTTTAAGGTGGCAGCAGTTATGTGCGTGTGCGTGTGTGTGTGTGTGTGCGTGCGTGTGTGGTTGCACGTGGAGAGTGTTTGTCTTTGCAAGCTGGGGAGTCTCTAACTCAAGCAGGGAGCAGTGTTCAGCTGCTCCATTAGAGTTTGTTAACACGCATACACACACACACACACACACACACACACACACACACACACACACACACACACACACACAGTTAGTTCAATAGAAGTGAAGCAACGTTTTGTTTGTTTGCTTTCTAAGAAGATACGTCTGTGTCTTTCATCACTGAACCTCTCTCGGCCTGCTTGTAATTACTCTGTAAAGCCGAAGCCAAAGTTTTATGGCAGGAGCCACAGAAGTGTGTGTCAGAAATATATCAGAGCAGCTCAGACATTATGATAAACAGACACACGCACACACACACACACACACACACGTGGTAGATCAGAGATAATCACAGACAGGTATTACATTTATATTTTCTGTGATTGACATCTCACCTGAGCTGTCCCGCTAAGATCAGCTCCGCCCACGTGGTGCTGGAGGGTGAGAGTTACTCTTCAGTCTGATAGCACACACTCACATGAGCGCACACAAACACACAGACAAGCCTCGGATATTGAGATGGTAATTAGCTCCTCTCTCTCTCCTCCTGCATTTAGAAAGTAAAAGAGACATCTGATGACCGGTCAGCCACCTCCCCAGCTTTTGTCCTGGGAAACACACACTCACACACACACACTCACACACACACACACACACACACACACTCACACTATAAAGAGAGTGAGTGAGCCATGCATCAGTGCTCTCACCCTCCACACCCACACAGCAGGAACAATAGGCCTCTCTGACTCGCTACTCTCCCTTTGTCCGTCGTCTTCTCAATACAACTCAATAAATCGCCCTGACAGGTTTCCAAACTCTCAGGATCTGATGATTCAAATGAACTCTTGCATTGTTAGCGGAGGGAGGGGGGGGGGAGAAGAAGACGATAAGCTTTGTTTGACCCTCACGACGCTTCACACACACACACACACGTTTTGTGTCCTTTCAGCGTCTGTCAAGCTGTGTTTTACACCGTTTGCGCATCTTGAACTTAACTGTATCTCTCCGGACAGAGAGGTGGGATGGAAACTGGAGAAAGACCAAAATGTAAGAGGTCTCCTCCCGACTGCAGCAAGTAAACATCCTGCAGAAACTACTGGATGTGTCCAAACTTCTTTTTACTGAACACCATCACAGAACCTCTTTTCAAAAGCTGCTTTTATATTTTTTTAGCTGTATAACTATAACCATGTAAAGTGTATCAGTAGTGTCTTCTACCAGTATGATAGGTATGATAGTCTCTGTAAATGGCCCGGGTACTGTATGTTGTTCATCAAGGCGCTGAGGGAAGACCTCCAGTGAAACCACAACCTCACATCTGTTCTGGCACAGTACATAACTCGTCCAATATGGACCAATTTGAAGACAGGGCAGAGGTACAAGTTGTCCCATCTGTGCCATCTTTTAGCAATTTCAAAAACATGTTACTATGAATTCCTGGAGGGTCTTTCCCCAAATTTCTATGATCTGAGAAAATGGAAAACTTATGGACGAATCGGTTCAGCACATCTTGGCAAGGAGAGTCAGACGAGTCAGTCACAAGAAATGACGACCTGAGATGTGACTCCCTAAAGTCTTGAAAGCAATAATCTCCAACCTTCAGTCAGTTTTATGAAAACACTATTAACAAAGCTTTCAAGAGAAATGTTTTTAATGTTGTGTCATTTCAACAGTTTGGATTCAGACCTGAAAGTCTTGCATCTTGTATGATTTTGCTTTCAAAGAGTTGTTACTTGGCCTGGACTGACGCTGATAGACTGGAGACTTAAATTACATGACATTTGACATTAGACCCAGACTTACCTCAGGTGACTTGAAACTCGACCTGCAACCTGTTTCAAAGACTTGACTTGAGACGTCACTTGGACTGATCTGAAATGACTTGATATATGACTTGAAGACTTGCTCAGACAGACTCAGGACTTTGTCTTGAATGACTTGAGATCTGTCTTTAGACTTAACTTGAGATTCGTCTCAAAGGGGTTGATGCTTGACTTGTATCAAATGATTTGAGATGTACACTTTTCTTGAGTTACTGTACCTAAGATGTAACTTAAGTAAATGGCTCTGACAGACTCGAGACTTGACTTGGACTTGTCTCAAATGACTCGAGACCTGTCTGCACTGCTTTCCATCCACCCACCCGTTAAATGTTATATCCTAATAGTGGTTTTTCCATGACTGACACGAGACCCTGTTTTTTGTGCGCCCCCTCAACAGAAGCGCCATATTGGACCAGGCCCGATCGGATGGACAAGAAGCTTCTGGCCGTTCCTGCTGCCAACACTGTCAAATTCCGCTGCGCCGCGGCCGGAAACCCGACGCCGACCATCCACTGGCTGAAGAACGGCAAAGAGTTCAAGGGAGAGCAGAGGATGGGAGGCATCAAGGTGAGAGAATTTCGCCTCAGACTTGTTAACGCCTAAAGGTTAGAGGAGCAGCGCGCTGATTTAGAGATTCAAATCCTCACACCAGCTCCGAAAGAATCTGCCTGGAGGAGGCGATGTTCAACGTGCCTTTTAGCAAGGCATCTTAATCCCCCGCTAGTCCAGTGGAGCTGCTGTGTGTCCATCAGTAGATCGCTGCGAGTGCTGCGATCGTCCCCGGTGTGAATTTCTATAAGTGGAAGAGTGTGAAGCGGAGTGCTGAAAGAGCGCTCATGGTCAGTGAATCTTCTCACGGTAAATAAAGGTCAGAAAACACGCCTCAGGGCCCAGCAGGATTCAGACCGAAATATATTTAGAGGCTCAAACTGCTGCGCTGAAATCAGAGTGGTACACAGATACGTGCGTGCTTGCGTGATAGCTCAGTGTTGACAGTAACACAGTGCAGCAAACAGCTGTTGTACTCAGTTTTGTCATCGGATTCACTCTAAACACTGGGCTCTCATGTGGAATGGCACTGCTTAAAGTAATAGGGCTTGGTTTACTTTTGTGTTCGTTTAATGGCCCCGAGCTGTAGGATTAAAAGACAAACGCTGTGCGGTAAGAACATTGGAATTCAAACAGTCAAAACGTGTGTTTTGGTTCAAAATAAACTTAAACTTAATGACATATAAATTCTAAAATTATGTCCAGAGATGTAAATCCTCCCGGGATCAGTCTGCCCTGCGTCGTACACTCTCTCCCTCTCAGTCGGCGCTCTGCCTTCAGAAAGTGAGGACGAGGGGATTTACCTGTTAAGATTTAACAGTCATACATGACCAACTTGCAGAGTAAATAAAGTGAAACTGTTGTTTTGAGGAAAGTTTCCTCTAAGAATCGACTTCATTACTTTCCACCAAACTTTCCACTTTCCATATGTACTCTCAGATTAGCATCACTTCTTACAGTGTATTGTTATGTTGTTTTAAAGAGCAGTATTTTTGTAAACCAATTACATTAGCTATATGAGGACATTTCGACTCTGATCAAAGTTTAAGGCCAATCCCTTGTAGCTTTTCATGTGGCTCTGCAGTCCTTTCAGACAGTATGATTTTTGGTTTATTTTTTGTTTCCATAAGCTTCCCTTTCAATTTAAAGTCTACCCTTTCACTACAACAAACTTCTCCCTTCCTGTTAGCCTGGTTTGTGCAGCTTTTTTCTGCACCGCTGGCTTTTGCAGCTGCCCACTGCAACCTCAGATGACAATTAAATGCTAAACCTTAGTGTAACGGTAGCACAAGTAGAGAAGAGTCAGTACTGACTCAGCTATGACTGCTACAGAACAAATTTACCTCAAGCTTGCTAACATTGGCAAAAAGAAATTGCCACCATAAGCAGCTGGTCATACCAGACCATGAGTGTACTGAACTATGTGATGATGCATTTTATTACCCATGACTTCAGTTGTTTATCTGTAAGAGCAGGGATTAGTAATAATAAGTATTAAGTAATTAATTGTCATAAATGCAGCAGAAACTTCAGCATCTGTAATAATGTCAGTGAGAATAAAGGAGGGAAAAGACTGAATTTAAAGTTTAATGTGATAACTTTACTTTGAAATTGCATCTAACGTCAGCAGAGTTAAACGTGTGTCAGGCTGGAAGTGAGGCAGTGGGAGACACTTTCTTCCCCGCCCCCAACCCCCCACCCCCCACCCACCCCCAGTGGAGGTTTGGCATTTAAAGGGTTAAATGTAATGAGATCCTGCAGCTATTAACAGTTTACAGAGATCTACAACATCTGCTCCCAGCAGACCAACAGCAGTTGTCTCCCTCCCTCTGTCCCCACTCTCTCACACACACACACACACACACACACACACACACACACACACACACACACACACACACACACACCTGTCACTAGCCCTCAGGACGCTCCAACTTGGACTGCAGTGGCTCCCCGACGACTTTTAGCGTGTTTAGTTTAGTGTGCAGGAATATTTGCTGATGATAAAGTCTAATCCCAAACTGACCGGTCGGAGCGCTTTGATATTTACTCCGTCTGTTCGCCAAATCTCCGACTTCTCCCCCAAATCCCCGAGTGTCCCTGTTCTGTGCCAAACGACTCACCAGCGGCGAGTTGAAAAGCACAATATAGATGTTTTTGTGGCGACTGAGGTGGTATTAAGATATTAACGTCAGCCCGATCAGTGTCATTTCCTCACGCTACACTGAACCTGTGCTGCGCTTTTATTTCCCTGAGCAGCAGTAGCCATTTTGTGCGCTCTCCTGCTTCAACACATGCTCCTATGGGATGATTGATATATAATTAGAGATTGATATGTGTTGCTGACGCTCCATGTTAAGACTCTGCAGAGTATGTGAGGTCCCGTTGGCCTTGCACTGTGTTGTGTCAGTGTGAGATGTGACACTATAAGTTGTCAACAAGCCACCGGGACAAATTCCTGTACATTTTCCGCTCCGTGTGGCGCAGCGGGTTCAAGCTTGGCACCGGACATCGCTGTGGGTTTATTTCCCACTGTGGCCACCCAAGCTGAAAGTATAGGCAATCATGGTGCTGTAAATAAGTGTCCAACCAAAGAGTAGATGTTATATTTGGTGGTGTAGGTTAACTTTGTCCTTTGTCTGCTCACATCAGTCTGACTTATTAAGACGTTTCCCTCCTTCTCTTTCCATTAAACACTTCGTGTCTCTCCCTCTGTCCCTCATCGCTTTGACGCCTGTGAATTACAACTTTGTTCCTGTATGAGTGAAGATTTCACCACCTTGTTCCTCTTATTTGGAGCAAGTGCAACTTCCTTAAATTCCTAAATCATAATGACCATGGAATGAAAGTAAAAATAAGTTCTTCTCTGTGTCTTTATTGAGACATTATCTCTTGCCCCTCCACCCTCCCTCCCTCCCTCCCTCCTGTCCTGGAGCTCTTCTAAAATCCAGTTAGCCAATCACCATGTGGCCGCCGTCGGCCTTGAGGGAGGTGAACAGAGAGGTCACTCTCTATAGAATCAGGGTGCTGGGTGACAGACAAGCCTGTGACCGGGCCGGGCTGCAGGGGGGTCAGGGGTAACATCTTTACCCCGGTCTTAATGTCAGAACCTCTGCTGACCCGGCACACTGGCACCCAGCAAATGGCAATATTAAAGTATTTTTTAAAGCAGTAACTTCAGTCATTATCTTAAAATATCAGTTCCCCCCAGTATTTAGACTTTCTTCTAGTTTTGGTTTTGATCGCTGAGGGTTTGAGGTATTAGCCACCGAGACTTATTCTGCCTCCTCAAAACAACGGAGGTGAATGGAATATATTTGAATGTGCCCATCAAGATAATCCACATCACTAAAAGAGAAGAAAAAACTTTTAACCCTTTTATTACTTACCTGTTGTTGCATTCCCAACGTTAACAATCCACAAAGACTCATTTTGCTCTGAAAGATCTGTGCGCTGACAGTCAAGTCACATTATCTTCAATTAAGCTGAGCGATGTGTCTAATGTCATTATATTGCCACCTAATTTTTAACTTGGTTATCCTCCGGGTCCCTCTCTTTGTTCCTGCCACATGCTTGTGGTTGTTAATGTTCGTGCAGCGCACAGATCAGCCGTCAGTCAGACTTCTTCCTCTGTGTGTCAAAAATCCTACAATAAAAGAACGATACTTCTCAGTAGCTTAATTGTGCTAAAAAGTATTAACATTATAGAAAAAGGGTGAGTGTTGTATGTAAAGTATGATATATAATAAATATGTAAAGAGGAGGATGAAAATCAAGATGAAGATTGAATCGTTGTTGTGTTGACAGACAGATAATAGACAGACATTCAGTGCATTCAGTCTCCCCGTGTCACAGCCCTCATCACCCCACCTCACATCTGCCTGTGATGAGTTCATCCAGCGAGGTCAGGCGGTAGATGGGTGGCGGGTGGTGGTGGTATGGGGGGGGGACGACGACACCCTGACAGTCTGACAATGGCCTTCTAAAGACTCTATTCCTCCACTGAGGACCTCAAGGTGAAGCCGTCTTCCTCTCACGTCTGTGTTTTTGATTTGACAGCCGTGGATAATTTCAACAGAATGAATTGCGAGCGCGTCTTTTGGACGCTTTTGTCACATGTCTTTTTCGAGGCTGGGAGTGTCTCATGACAGTGCGCTGACCTGCTAACTGATCCACGCTGATCGGCACAGCGGAGTCCTCTCCGCTCAGCGCTGCCGTGTGTCATTTACTCTAAGTGCCTTCAGATCTGCAGAGGTGTGAGAGGAAGTCACTGACTGAGCGGACCATTAAGGTCCATTACCAGCTTACAAACACACCTCCTGTCTTCACACTGGAGTGCTCGAAAGTGGCCTTTCTGGGGACGCGCCGCGTTCTCCTTTGTTCCTTAAAGGCATCCATTTTAACAAGTGACTTCCACACAGGCGTAAAATCACATTTCTGTCCTAAAGTATGAAGAGATCCATACAGTCTCATCAGGTTCACTCACAATGTGACAAAAGATTACGGCACTTTAAGGCAAATTGGTTCTCCCGTTCCCAACATGCATCGGCAGAGTCGAGAGGATTCTTGAAGATGAGTTTGTGTGACGAGCAAAGTATTTCACCTTTTTTAAAGCTGGATGTGATATTAAATTTCTCCAGATAAGATGGTGCTGAGAGACACTCATCCTGGAAGAAAGACAAAAAACTTTGACTCTATAATTAGGGATTAATGCTTTTTTTAGGTGGAGTTAATGGAAGTCTGGAATGAGAGCTGCACGTACTTTAATGGTAAAATAAGATCCAAAGTTAATATTTCAGGCCAGAATAGACTAAATGAAAAATGGAAATCGACTTCGAGGCAGCTCTATCAGCAGCACCAACAGTCTCCAGACCTTGAAATTTGCTTTGCCTGCCTGGCTGTGTGCTACTCTTGATGCCAAACGCACGGAGCACCGGTGGGAGGAGAGGTGCGAACAGGTGGGAGGTTCATTCTAACGAGGCAGCGCAAAGATGCAAATAAACCATTTTAACTAATCA